TGTAGTTATTATTACTGCCGTTGTTGTTGTTATTGTTGGAATTGTTGCGATTTCCACGATCGTTGTTGTTGTTTCTGTTATTGTTGTTGTTGTTATTATTGTAATTATTTCGGTGATAGTTATTTTTATTACGATTGTCAAATTTGTTGTTCTTATTACGGTTATTGTATGAAATACTCGGTCTATCTTGTCTCAAATTGTTTATTTCAACAATCATTTTTGAGATAACTTCCTTCGGTGATTCAAATTTAGTAGCTGCGATTACCGCCTTGACTGTGTCTTTACGAGCGTTTTTTCGGCATAATTCAACAGTTTTTTCGATTGAAAGTTCTTTGGCTTTAGCCCTGGAAAAACCCTCAATTAATAAGCTTCGTCTGAAATCTTCGGCCAATTCCTCTGCTCTTTCCGAGAATTTTGCCAAATTAGTTTTATCGGTGCGAAGTGCTAGCATACGCCCTTCGATCACTTTTGATGAATCTGTTTTTATATTTGCTCTTAAATCACGGATTATTTCATCAACATCCCCCGGTTCGTCGTCAATTGCTTCGCGAGCAATACCCTCTAATCTAGACTTTACGAGTTTTGTAAATACATCTTTGTCATCATCTTCGACCATTTCTTTCAACAATTCAACAGAGTCAATGAATCCATTCAATTGCAACGGATTTCCGTCGTATTTGTTTAGCATTGAGGCTGCTAAGCGCAGAAATTCTTTTCTGGTCATGGCCATTTTGTTTACTGTGTTTTGTGTTTGTTCTTCGTTAGATGCAATGTCGTTTGTATTAATTTGTTCGTCTGTATTAATTTCTTCGTTTGTATTTATTTGATCGTTTGTATTTGTCAGTAAGTTAGTAAAGTAGCGTTATTTAAAAGTTCTGTATTTCTAACAAAAATTTCGGAATTTAATGATTCGTTAAAAACTATTTCGGTACTGTCAATTAAATTTACGTCTATTAATTCATAATTTTTTGGTAATTGCAATGACAAATCTAATGCTTTTAATGCTCGTAAAATTCGTAATTTTATGTTTCCAATCGTCCTTCCAAAATCTGCTTGCGTTTTATAGTCAAATTTGTTTATATATGCTCCTATATATGTAATATAGTGGTTATAAGCATTTGCTAATTCAGTTTTATATGCATTAATTCTTTGTAATTTTTCTTGTGCATCAGTTGGAAGTGGACGATTAACTTTGTCTTCGTAATTTATTAATTTTTTATTTATATCTTCAATATCTATAACTTATCTATTTGTTTAGTTTGGATCTCCAGTTGGTATTCGATGAATTAATTATGTTGCACCACTTGGTATTTGATGAATCAATTATATTGCACCACTTGGTATTCGATGAATCAATTTTGTTGCATCACTTGGTATTTGATGAATTCAGTTGACAGATCACAGCTGTTGTTTTGTTTGGTACACCGTCTGTGTTTTTTATTTATTTTATATTATAAAAACTGAATATTATTTATTGCAAAATTGATTAAATTGACCATTAAAGTGCTGTGCATCTATAAACAATCGAGTACAGTGAATTTAGTTAAGATTTTTGTTGTTTTAGAGAAAGTGACTCTGCATATTTTTTCGTAGTGTATTTTGTTGTTGTATTGTGTCAAAATGACACCACAACATCAATGTAGTAATGACAATTGCCCAGCGGGACCGAAAATCAAGTGTGTAAAATGCGGAAAATTATGTTTTATGAAATGTTTTGGACTTGAAAACCGTGAAAATATCGAAAGTAACGAAATTGTAAAAGTGTCATTGTCAAATGGCGCCTCAGTTTTCGCATTTTTACCGTCGTGTGCATTTGTTTGCTGTGAAAACGAACTGTTAAAGGCTGATTCGAAAAAAACATTGAAATTACCGAAAAATAGTCGTTCGTCGTCCAAATCACGTCAAACATCTGAAAATGTTGAAATTTCATCACTTTTAACCGAACTATCCGAAATGAAATCCTTGATTGTTGAAGTGAAAGGCAAAACCACCGAAATTCACAATGATACACAAAATATAATGAAAAAGTCAGCGGACATTTTCAAAGCAACTTTTAACCCGTAACGAAACGACAAATGCACCGAATAACAAGAATTTAATTGATTTTCCATCACCGTCGACACCGAAACTATCTTTTGCCAATGCTCTTCGAAGTAACAATGTAGTACAAAAATCCGCCAAACGTAAACGAATGGACAATGTACCGGTGCAAAAACCAAATTTGCCAGCAGTGAAAACTGGAACAAAATTGGGCGCATGTGTATTAACCGTGCCACCAAAGAAACGCGATTCGAAACCGAAATTTGAAAAGGCCGTTTGGGTTTCAAGATTCCGGCCAGAAGTGACAAGTGAGCAGATAATTGAACTTATCATGGAAAACACGACGATCAACGATAAAAACCGATTAAATGTGCACAAATTAGTGAAGAAGGACCGTGATTTGACCACCCTGAAATTCGTGTCATTCAAAATCGAAATAAACACCGAAGATTTTGATGTTTTAATGGATCCGGACGTTTGGCCTGAAGATATTATGGTCCGTGAATTTTTGCAAAGCCTGACTTTTGGTGATTTCTTTCCGGCTTTACCAACAAACGACATCAGAAAACCGCCAACCGAAAAAATGGAAACAACAGAAATAAAATCACCGAACAATCAAGCCAAATCACCGAAACCAATGTCATAGATAACGTCACAGAAATAACAATATCGAACCAAATTGAACATTCTGCATCAAACCAAAAAGAACCAAGCAAAACAAAACTGAATGTGTATATTCAAAATACACATTCCATTCGTAACAAAGTCGACGAGATACGTTTAGCAACAAAATCGTGTCCCTTCCAAATAATTTCTTTTTTCGAAACGTGGCTACTACAAGGCATCAAAGACATTGAACACTTCGGAAAGCGTTATAATGTGTATCGAGGAGATCGAACTGAACTCACGAGTGATAGAACCGACGGTGGTGGTGTTTTAATCGCAGTTGAAACCCAATTCATCAGTGAGAAAGTGACGCTTTCGGAGAATAGTGGCCTTGAACACGTATGTGTAAAGATTGTGCTCGATTCGTGTAACGTTTTTATATTTTCGGTGTACATTCGATCATTACACGAGACAGCAAAATTTTTGGAATTTGCAGAAATTGTAAAGTTGATCCCTTTCAATGATAATGACATTGTATTAGTGTGCGGTGACTTTAACCAGCCGGGTGTTAAGTGGATCAAAGCAGATGACGGAGAGTACTATTTGCCAACGAATGTGTCAACGGATGGTGGTATAGC